TTAGAGTTTGAAATTGAAAGTGTATAATAGATTATTATTAATATTAAAAGTTTGAATTAATATCTGATTTTCGTATAAATAAAGTTTATATCTGAAATTTGAAATTGAAACTTTAAAATTCTGATTTTGTGTAATTTCTTATTTTTAGATTTTTGTTTAAATTTTTTAAGTTCGACAACAAGTTATTGGGCCTTGATTACCAAAGGCCCAATAGTCAACCTCAATAACAAGGCTTCAATCTTTACCAGAGGCTCAGTAATTTTCACTCATTTTTTTCACCACGCAGTAAAAAATCAACTTTGATAAGTAAAGTAATTATCACAATCAACCCTATCTTGGTTTCAATACATAAACGTCATTTCCTTACACGATAATTAAACACTATACAAGACAATATACTCATGTTTAGTTTAGTTAAAAAAGTCGATAAAAACTTCACAGTATCTACAACTTTTATCGACCTTTATACATTTCATCAATTTTTATCAAAATTTACTAAAAAAATGATTTTTATTTAAATGGTACCGACGTTAAATTTCACTGCAACATGTCGACTTAACAAATAGGAGATTATTGTGACTTCATAATTAAACTAACCCCACTAAAGTTCCATATTTCAAGTTTGAAAAATGTTATTCATCCCCAGTGGGGATGTATTCACAGTCTATGTGGATGTAAGTGATTGGTTAAACGATATGTGAAATTAAATGACTTATTTAATTTCATCTATCATTTAATGTCACATAGACTCTGGATGCATCTCCACTGGGGATGAATAGCATATCTCTTCAAGTTTGGGTGGAGAATTTTCGAATCCAAGATCAAAAGATGTTGGAGAATAAGAAATAAGTTGAAAGCTTCCAAGAACACTTTTGTGTGTGTCCCCATTACACTTGTATTGCATGAAATGAAAGGAAAGAGTAATTGGAGTCAATTTTCAAGTCTTTACTCAAATAAAATATTCATGATTAGATTGATTAAATTAACATGATTTAGTCAAAATATTTCTACCTATTTACGAGTTGTTCTAACCATGCCAACAACCCATGCCACCTTTACGTCAATTATGATGTTTACAGACCAAATTATTATGCTTATGTATGTCTTGGATTCGCGTCGGACATAGATAGTAAGCTCGTTTTACATGATTTATAAAAAAGCTAAAATGAGCTTTTAAAACTTATCGTTTGACGTACCTTTTTTTCCTTTTTCATATAAAACATTTAAGTCATGTTTGATTTTTATTATTCAAGACTCATTTTCAACTATACAATCTCAAATAAAATATCTTGCACGTAAATTCAAAACTTTTCTTACTTTTTATCAACGAGTCCCTGATGATTCACTGTTAGAAAACTCATTTTAATGAAATAATGGGCATCAAATAGGGGTTTTCGCTCATTTGTTTAAAGTATTCAACAAACTCGGTTACACTACGATGAAGTAAAAGAAAAAAAAATGGAAACTTACATTTGGACATCATTAGTGAGCAAAGCTCGTCCTGTAGGAGGGGATTTGATGATTTTTTGCACTATTGAGTATGATAGTTAAGTCAACTGTTGGAAAAATAGAAAATGAGTAAGTTTTGGAGTGAAAATGTGGAAAAGACAAATAGACAAAGTCATGTTTTTGGTTTGATGCAGCTTACCTTCTTTTTTTGACCTATTCATGAGTATTTATGGTGACATTGTACTAAAGAAGTCATGTATTGATTGAGTCTTTGTCATTATTCTATACCGTTTTCTTATAAATGGAATAACCTAATTAGCAGTGGTTTCCTTAAGTATTTTTCAATTATTCTTTCGTGTTTTGGATAAATATTTCAAAATTCAAATGTCTACTCATTAGATAAATCCTAGTGTAACGAGGCTCCAACTGCTAAAGTTGTCGTAACACGTGAAGACTAAGAATTCAAGATATAGAGGTTCAACAATAGGCAATCGTCCACGTTCATATTGAAGCTTGCCTCTTATGTATAGTTTCGTGGAAGGCTCGCCTGAAGTCAAAGTTCGGCCAAAAGTTAATCTCTATGCGAAGACTTTGCAAAATACATGATAATACCATCACAAATACAAATTTGACAAATACCGATGTCAATAATGTCACGTCATTGTCAAGCGAGGCACGTCGACGTCAAACGAAGCTCCACAAAAAAAAATCTTAAATTTCAATGGAGCCAAGAACTAATAGCTTCCACCTCCACTTTTTCACACGAATCCCAGCCCTTTACAATTCACAACTAGTTGTTCGTGCCATAACCAGAAATCAACAAAACATACAACACTCATTTCACATGTCTAATTATCAATGAGAAAAATGCTAAATGTGTGTTTTTGCTCTACATTATGTTTTGACATCTCCTATGCAATACAATCTGGACAGTGATATGAAAAAATGATGGAAAAATCAAAAGACATAATAGTGCAAATGTTAAAGAATGTAAACAATGATATAAACCATAGGATGATTGTTATCAACACAATTCACGGTATATGTTTAGTTGACATTACATATATCTTAAAGTTTGTCACCCATTCATCTCCTCTTCCAATTCTAGCGCAATCCACCTGCCAAGTTGTGGGATGAAGAAAGGCTAAGGTAATTTACCTTTCAATTAGGATTTTACTATTAATTTACTCCTTAATAGGAAAATTTTAGTTTGAAAAGAATTTTCTTTTATTTGACCTTACATTCATTATACTTTTTGCTGGCTTACAATTACATTAATCGAATAGCATCAAAACCAACTCGATATAAATATTTCACCAACTTTAGCAGTAATCGAAATTCATTACTTTATCGTATATTTTCCAAAAATACTACTTTTTCATAAAATTTATTTTTATAATATCTACATCAAATATGCTCTTAATATTGACCATTCGACCCTTAAAATATCACCGTTTCGATTGCGGAGCTTGATCGTGCATTTAAACAGTTGACCAACAACACGTCAAGCACTATACACGCTCTCTCTTAATCCACGTGTCATATTCTAATTGGGTTAAGAAACGTCCACACCTCTATTTAACCATCTCAAGATTAGCACAATCTTATTGTATCTTAATTCTAATTGAAGCCATGGCATCTTTTAATCCATTCTTTTTCATTGCCACGGCTTTGCTAATCTCACCGGCCTATTCCCTCACCTGCACGTCACAGACCTTTACACAAGGAAACCCACGGTTCACAAACTGCACCGATCTTCCAGTACTCAAGGCATATCTCCACTGGACCTATGACCCAACTGCCATGCCCAAACCCACTCTCTCCGTCGCCTTCATTGCCCCTCCGGCCAAGTCAGACGGCTGGATTGCTTGGGCTCTGAACCCAACTGGCATGGGCATGGTGGGGTCTCAAGCACTCGTTGCATTCAAGGATTCCAATGGATCCATGGTTGTCAAAACATATAATATCTCGTCTTACAACTCTATAGTCGAGTCGAAGATATTTTACGACGTGTTGGAGAAGAAGGCGGAATTTTCCAGCGGGGCGATGAGAATATTCGCCAAACTTGCTTTGCCCAGTGACGCAACGGAGTTGAACCAGGTTTGGCAGGTTGGTTCTGCGGTGAGGAATGGGATGCCAGAAAATCATGATTTAGGGTCGGATAATTTGAACGCAAAAGGCCGATTGTCGTTGGGGGGTGAGGCCACCGCATCCACGCCGTCGCAGGCTCCGGCACTGTCGCCGACTGCCGGGAGTGGGAATGGACGGCAAAACGGGAATGCTAATGGAAGTTCGAGGATTGAGGTGTATGGGGCTTTGGTGCTACTTCTGGTGATTCCATTAATCCACTGGTTTTAGATTTTAGGGTTGTGATTTTTCAATTTTCATATACATTATTGGGATAAAAAATTAGGAGGTGAAATATTATTTACATATTCCACTTATTTAAGTAGATGGGAATAATAGTAATTTTCTTGTTTCGTTATTATTACAATTATATTTGACGAAAAAAAAAACTATATGGCAATGACCTGATATCTTCGGATGTTTCAATATCTTTCGTCCCACAACTTTTTTGTAAAATATAAGCATCATTTGTGTGATATCGATCTTATGGGATAAACATGATTAGGAAAGAGGGACGAGATGAATGATATGTTCATGCATATTAAACATGCCATGTAACTTGCATTAATACTTCTCAAAATTCAAATTTTCAATTTTCTGTTTCGAAAAATAAATATTTACGGCAATCACTTTCTATGTTTTGTTATTATCCGTTCTTAGAGTCGAGTTTCATCAAATTGTAAATTATAAGGGAAAATTAAAGTGGTGACATCAAGAAAATACATTATTAATTAATGTCTTTATTTCAATACCTTTATTTAGCTGTAAAGGATTTGGTTCCTTGAGATCCCAAATGTTTGTTAATCCTACAATTAATGGGCACATTTTTCCAACTTTCTTTTACATCGATTTGTTTTTAAATATTGCTAATAATCCACCTCACATGTTTGGTAACATGATTTTAAAGTATTGGATAATAAATACTGAATCTTGCTATATGTACATAAATGTTTCCATAAAGAATTACATAATGTTATGTTGCATTCTACCATTTGTCAGAAGTCAACTCTTTCATCCAATTTTTTTTTCATTCATATCATTTTATGTAATTCTTTATGTACAATGTATATCGGGGTGTACACCCCCCCCCCCACATGGGGGTGGGACCCGCTTAAATAAAAAAATATATTTTATGCAGTGAGTTCCACCACCCATGTGAAGGGGGGTGTAGCCCCTTATATACAAAAGTTGATATACAAGTAGAATTTTCCTACTCTAATTACTCTCGATATTAAATAATTGTTGGATTCCAATAGGTAGCTCTTACACATTGGGGTACAAATAATTCTGCCTATGGAGCGGCCATAATTATTTCAAAATTAACTATGTGAGTTTTTTTTTTTTTTCATTCGATTACTATATCAATTAAAAATGTACGTATTCGATAAAAACTCAATATATTTGAAAAATTAAAATGATAGGACACAAACATAATTACGAACACGACAAGAATAGTCATGGATAGCTAATAGGAGTTTTAGATTGTCTCATTATCCACGGCATGCTAAAGGGACCGATAATGCCTAGAACATCATATTTCTCCCCACTCGTGCTATTATGTA